CATTTGGCGGCGGGCGGCCGTTTTGCGCCATAACGTTATTATATGTAGGGTATGAGTAGGGTAGGGTATGAGTAGGGTATGAGTAGGGGTGGGGTATGAGTAGGGTAGAGTGTGTATGGTAGGGTAGAGTGCATAAGGGCCTAACATGCGAAAGACTCAAAGAACCCGTAATCAGCACCAGCATACCATACTGTTCAATTAAAACAAATATTCAACTTCATTCAACTAATACAAATCTAAATATAACCTCATGCACCCAAACTAATGCCCCCTCAAACGCACCTATCAAAACGTACAGTTGTCGCGCAAACATGGCCATCTAGTTTAGGCATAATTTAAAAATGTAAATATAGGATTAGGTGCTAGCTAAAACCATATATACGCTCATTTTTTGATAAGGTAAATAAGGTTAGTTTCCGAGAAAAACGCACGTGAAATTTCGCTTAATCGATTTAGACGTGTCATGGAAACGTAGTGTATCAGTGTGCCTCTTAAGTAATTATTTATGAAGTTTTGTTTTGTTTAACATTTGTTTATGAAGAAAAATTGGCTGCGTCTGTATTGTCACCATCGCTTCTTGGCCTGAACTGTAGGTATCATGGATTTTGTTTACATTAATGCATAGACTTCTGTACACCTCTGTCTGGTGTACAGAGGTCTATGATTAATGGTATTGTCAATTGTCAATTGTCAATTGGGTCACCTTTTTTGGATCATGATAACACACTTAACCCTGCCTTGACCGGACTCGAATTGAAAGACTTTAATTGAAAGAACGATTGCTGGTTCAGGCATGGATGAGATTCAGGGTTCAAGTTATTGTCCTACTCATGCAGATGACTTGAATCCACATCCCAGTTAAAGGGATGTGTTACCCACCTTCAAAAAAGTTGATGAATTGGCATAAAAGTGATGTCCCGTGTTTCGCAAAGATAAAAAATGAACATCTACCAAATTTCACCGAAAAATATTTCCTGGTTTTCAAGATACTAGGCTTTAACTTTTGTTTACTTTTGGGATCTCCGCTGTTCCTAGCGACTTTATTTGAAAGTGCGGCACTTGTAGCGCGCAAAGCAGCATATACCGCCGCGTGCTACCAAACGTTTTAGTAAAACATTTAGGGGGATCCGTGCTATCGTAAGTTATATCGGACGTGGCTGCGAAACTTCTCTCGGTACGAAACTTCTCTTGATCGGAAGAAAATCGGAGGGATGAAAAAGAAAGAGCGGCAAATCGGAGCTACGTTGTACGTAAGTTGTTTCGCAGCGTTTAAATGCCAGTTTTACTACGATTTAAATGCCAAGCAGATCAGCTGACCTCGTAGTACCATGTCGATAAGGTCGAATTCCCCATACGTCTATAGTGTAAAAGTGACCCCTATTGCAAATGGGCTGTCAGGGACATCTCCTCCTCTGTAAATTTGGAGGGATCATGTGTCGGCATTCCCACGTTCGTTTCGGAGTCCATCTGTTCCATTTGGAGCCCGTCAGTTGGCGTCAAGAGTTGGCGCAGCGAGCGCCCCGAAGACTGCGTCTGCGCACGAGGCTTCGCGATGGAGGAGTATTTTGACGAAATCGCCCTCGCTGCAGAAGAAATAGAGGGACTTGTTGAGAAAGAGGAGGCCGCAGTGTGCCGACGACTTTAAACTGTACGCCAACGCCAAGACCAAGGCACTCAGGGGGCGCTCAGATGATCGAGAGGTTTCAATTGATCAGGGACCCACCAGGTGACCAGGGAACCCTCTGATAACCAGGGGTCCTTCCAGTAACCAGGGACTCCTTCAATAACCAGGGGCCCCTCAGTAAACGTGGGCCACTCAGGTTACTGCAAGAGATAGGAGTCCCTGATAACCAGGGACCGGCAAGGTCTCTCAGGTCCGTTTTTGACAAAGCTGTTATTGATGTCATATGCGAGCCCTTTGCCACCAGCAGAGGGCCCTTTCAAGCCTTTTTAGGGCCGTTTAACGTCTCTTGAGTTTCCTTTGAGGCTAAGGGCCTCTTCAGCAGCCGAGGGGTCTTTGAGGCCTTTTTGAGGGCCTCTTAACGTCAGCTGAGGACCGTTGGACGCCATCTGAGGACCGTTCGGGGCCTTCTGATGGCCAGTAGATGCCAACTGAGGGCTCTCTGACACCAGCTGAGGGCATGCTGACACCAACTGGGGGCCTCCTGACACCAGCTAAGGGCGCTTTTATATTTGACACGAGCACAGGGCCCTTTGACGCCCTTTGAGACCTTCTGAGGTCCGTTTGACGCCAGCAGAGGACCCTTTGGGGTCATATGAGGGCCCTTTGCTGCCTTCTAAGCGGCCTTTAAGGCTTTTTGAGGGCCGCTTGACGCCACCTGAGGACCGTTGCGGTTGGACTCCAGTTACGGACCGTTTGAGGCCTTCTGATGACCATTTTGCGCCAACTGAGGGCCCTCTGACACTAGCTGGGGGCCCTCTGACACCAGATAAGGGCCCTTTAAGGCCTTCTGAAGTCCGGTTAACGCTAGCGGAGGGCCTTTTGAGGCCAAATGAGGGCCCTTTGAGACCTTATAAGGGCTCCTTGAGGCTTTTGAGGGCCGCGTGACGGCATCTGAGGACCGTTGTACTCCAGCTGACGACCGTTTGAGGCCTTCAGATGGACTTTTGGCGCCAGCTGAGGAGGGCTCACTGACACCAGCTGGGGGCCCTCTGACACAAGCTAAGGACTCTTTAAGGCCTTCGGAGGGTCGTTTGACGCGAGCTCAGGGCCCTCTGACGCAGGTTTAGGGCCCTTTGACGCCCTTTAAGGTCTTCTGAGGTAGGTTTAACGTTGGCTGAGAGCCCTTTGAACCCATCTGAGGGCCCTTTGAGGCCATCTTGTGGCCCTTCATTTGGCCATCTGAGGGCCCTTTGACACCAGATGAGGGCCATTTGACGCTAACCGAGGGCCCTTCGAGACCATCTGAGGACCCGGTGAACCCATCTGTGGGCCCTTTGAGGTCTTTTGAGGGCCATTGAAACTTCACCACAATACCCCTGGCTGCGCTACTGGGCATTTATGGACTCGTATGGGCCTGCTGGGGAACGAGATGGGCCCTCCCGGTCTTTTTAATCATTATTTCAGTTCATTTTACATGGTCTTCGGCGGTCTAAAGATTAGGGGCCCCAACTCGAATGGGGGGAGGTCCGTGTGCCCTCTCCTGTGTGTGGCCTTGCCGACACTACACCGCTTCCCCTCCCTCTGCCATAAACGCACCGCTGCACTGCTAGGCGCCGACAAATACGGACCGGCGCCGCAACCGGCTCCCCCGCGGCCTGCCTCGCGTTGACATAGCCCTTCCCGAACACCAGTGTAACCCCCACGCGGCCCAGGTATCGCCGCGCCCACCTGTCCGCGGCGCGGCCTCTGATGGCGTATCGGATCATTGATGGTGCGATACATGTTTTGGTCAGATTTTCGCAATTAACGCGAAAAATTGCCCAAAACATTTTTTAAATTTCAAAATTGAAAAAAAAAATAATTACAAAAATGACGTGAAAGTGACCGTTTTCAACGTGTAAATTTAAAACGCTCTAGCGCAGCCATTTTTGAAGAAATCGACTTCAAATTTTGCACACGTGTTCATCAACCATATTTGTTTAACATATATTTCGGTTTTGTGAAAATTTTGAAAATTTCGAATATTTTTCTCTTGAGAAAGAGGTAAAGCTTCGCTACGATCGGCCTTCCGATCGACCGAGAAGATTCGTAAAGTTAGTTCGTATCTTCACCATTTGCGATACAACTTGCGTATCTACTTAGCCTACGACGTGATGGATCCCTCCAATATCTGTTCCGATTCAACTTACGTTTGATCGCAACTGCGAGGTGCCTTGCGATCACATGGATCCCCCCAGCCTTATTAAAATCGTTAGATCTCCGCTGAAGTCACAAATTCTAAGGGGGCATTCCAATACATTAGCCCCTTAGAATTCGAAAACTGCAAGTTTGAAATTCCATATCTCCGATTTAAAGCATTTTTCGATGTTGTGAGTGCCCAAACCGGTATTTGCAGGTCATGGCCACCAATTTGGCTATCTCAAACCAAAACTAATGTTAAGGTGGGATGGTCACTTTAAGTAACTGACCTGAATATTTGTTAATAGTTACACAATACAGTTATTAATGTTTTTTTCCAATATAAATAATTTAGAGATTCCCTGATCTGTTTTTGTTGCCTTATTTTAAAGTATTACCTTTCATTTTTCAATGTTTATTAATATCTGAGAAGGTTTGAAGCGTTTGTTTGATAATTCACTGAATTTGGTGTCTAGTTGGTATTTCCCCCTATTTCTGAAAATCGGTTCGGTTTCGGTATACTCTCAGTGGTTTTGGTCGGTATCGGTTTGGTATCGGTTTCCAAAATTCTGAAATTGACATCAATAGTCCATCCAACCAACCCCCCTACACAATTACACATGCGAGGGATAAGTTTAAGCGTTAAAAATTTTATATTTCAGTATTTAGGATTGAGCTTGAAATCTCACAGCCGTGGCCACAGCCGTAGCCGTGCTCTTGGAGATATTTGCAGCCACCCCGCCCCATAGCCATGGGGATGCAGCCAGTCGCGGCTGCAGCCGGCCGGTGCAGACCTCTAGAAGTTGCCCTTGGTAGCCAAAGTTGCATGAAACTACGGTATAGTGCGGCGAAAAATGTGGGGTCGTTTAACGCCCAGCAAGACATGGTCCCAACATGGTCCTATGAATTTCATCTTCCTGTGAAAGATGCCCTGGGATTGAGGACGCTGCGAAGCTGCGACATTTATGATCGCGCAGATATTCATTTATGAAGTCATAGGTTAGTGACTTTACATGACCCAAACATTTAGTTGGTGTCACAAGACCTGACTGAAATAAAATATCCGGCGTGCTGAGTCATCTGTATATGGCCAGCACGAAGCCGCCGTCAGGGGAGGAGGCGACACGCGCTCCCCTTTGTCGGCCGGAGACGATGCGCCGTCGGAGCACCGTGACCTGTGACCCTCCTTCTGCCGCAGGACGATTCGCTGCCGGAGCCGCAGGACGTCGACGACGACGATGATGTTTTCGCCTGTTCGGACGCCGAGCCGTCGACGCCCGTGGAGAAAACGCCGGGGCGGCCGGCGCTCGGCTCCGCCGGGAATGAGGACGCTGTCAAGACCAAATCGGTGCGTCTTTATGGTAGCAGTCAGGAAATATTCGACCAAAATTTTGCGTTAACCCGGCAGGCGGTGGGCCTACCAGCCACCTTCCGCGCGGTGGGGGGGGGGCACTTTTTTTGCCCCCCCCCCCGTATCTCCGAAACTACTGGACGGATCCGGAAAATTCAAACGGCGTTCGATAGCCCTGTCAAATTTGTCGAAGGAAACCAAATTTCATTGACCTCGGGGTCACCGATGACGTCACAGGTCAGGTCAAAGATAAAATGTTTCACCGTTCACGGGGCTTCTAGGGAAAGCGCTATAACACCGAGTAAAACGCATTTTGTCGAAAATCAGCGATAAGGCGTCAGTTGTCTAGTACATATGTTGCTATTAGAGGTCACTGGTCATACCAGGTCAGGTCACAGGTCAGGTCACCAAAGGTCACCAAGGGTCACCACATGAGCCCAACTTTACTAAGGTTATGCGATGCATGTTTTATGGCCAGTTTTTCATTTCCAACTCAATGGTGTTGGTTATAAGACCATCAGGTACGGTTTAGGTAACTTTCTGGTGGAGGTCAGGTCAAGGTAAGGTCAAAAAAGGTCAAATTTCAAAGTTGATATTTTTGCATAAAATGGGTATCGATTCGATGAAGCTCGTCACGGGAGTCTAATGGTGGTCTTTGTTTTGCGCTACGAGGTCTAGAATTGCTAAAAATTGAGTTTTAAAATTTGACGTCATCAATTTTGAACAGTTTTTTCGCTATAACTTGGCCAAAAAAAAGAGGTATCGATCTCAAATTTGGTATATAGATAGAAGGCGGTAGGGGCTATCACATAAATTCTGGTTTTTTCGAAATTCAAAAAAAAGGATTTTTTTGCTATTATATTCAAAAAATCTATTTTTTGATTTTTGGGGGTCAAAATTCAAACATTTCGAAAAACCGAAATAGCAGTTTTGTAGCCCTTTTAATTCCACACCTTTTATGTCTGAAACATTTTTCTGTATCTCTAAAGCTGTAGTCCTGACAGCTCTTCCCGCGAAACCTTTTTTTTTTTTGGGTCGAAAATGGCAAAAATGACGTCACTCTGACGTCATTAGCGGCCAACCTATCATAGCCTTTGGAAAAAAATTTTGGTCACCATGTGCGCTAGCTGCTCCCGGAAGGGTACTGAAAGTTTGGTGACAATCGGCGCAGCGGTTCTCGAGATATATCGAAAAAACTAAAGGGGGGCAAAAAATGCCCCCCCCCCCCACCGCCTGGAAGGTTAACATGCTCACGGTTGTATAGGGACGTCATGAAAAGTGGGTGGGCCTCCCCGTCAAGGGCCTGCTTTTCCAGAGGATCCTCCAACTTTTGTCTTGTCTTGCTTTAACCCGCGCCCTGATGGGGTATGTTGATAACGCGACCCTGGTGTGGGGATGGGGGGCTATTTTTGCCCCCCCCCTCGTATCTCCGAAACTAGCGGACGGATTCGCAAACTTCTAACGGTGTTCGGTAGTCCTGTCAAATCTGTTGAGGGAACTATAATTTCATTGACCTCGGGGTCACCGATAACGTCACAGCTAAGGTCAAAGATAAAATGTTTCACCGCTCACGGGTCTAAGGGTGCGTTTCACGCGTAACGCTATGAGAAACGCTTTTCGTAAATATCTAGAGCATTGTTGCTTCGATTGCCTTCGTTTTTGGATATGTTATGAAGGACGTTAACCTCGAGATATGACTTGAGTGTCATGATTAAAAACTTTTTCCTCAGGATATGTAATTATTGTTTATGTTTTTTCGGAGTTGTTCAAGAGGATAATTACAAATATTACATTTATTCAGATATTTCGGTAGTCGTTGTGGTACCTTCATGGGTGAAGGTACCACCAATGAAGGTACCACAACTAGTACCGAAATATCTGAATAAATGTAATATTTGTACTTATCCTCTTGAACAACTCCGAAAAAAACATAAACATTAATGACGTTAACCTCGTCATCACAGAGTGGTAACCTTTGTATTGTGTTGTATTATTGTATTACACATCATGACGCACTTCCACACAGTTATGTGGCTATTCCGTGCCCCGTTGTCAATATGATTTGCAGAACTTTGTTCTGCAATCCACATATACTGAGCAATTGGGCAAACATATTGCAAAATCAAAATTTCAAACGAATAGAACTCAATACCGGATTGTCGTAGGACTGTGATGTTTGCAGTTTTTGGACTGACGAAGTCAAGGAAAACATTTCCTAGCAAGCCTTTTTTTCAAATTTTGTACTATGTTTTGCATGATGCAATTTTCATCTTGCAGTGCATTGCATAAAAGCCGCGACAACAATTTCAAAAATGTGGCTTCTGGGAATCATACAGACATCGACACAATCCTGTATAGTGAATCATCATTGCATGCATCACTATGCAGTTCTATTCATTTGAGTCATTGCACAGCTAGTTCATAAAATCACCGAGAGATGTCTCTGGCTGTATGGCCCGCGCGTTTCGACGGTCCCCTCGGCTTGTCACTCAGCGGCGTTTGACACAGGCCCTCCCGGCTCCCGCCCGTCCGGGATGCGCTCCCCATCCGCAGGGCGTCGGCGGCGCCCGCCCAGAGACACAAGAATTACAGCGGTGCTGCGGGCGGCTTGTGGGGCAACGGTGCCGCGCTCGTTCCCCGGCCCTTCGCCGTCCGTCCCCCCTCCCCGGTGCTGTTTTCCTCCGGGGGAGGCGCCTCGGCCGCCGTGCCGGGGCGTAGCGCCGTCTGTGCTTTAAGTACAGCAAAATATCCACCCAGGCTAGATTAACCCGCGCCGGGCCGGTGCTCCGAGATTCCGCGCCGGGCCGGAGGGAGGTGTCTGAACACACCCCCCCCCCCCCTTCTAACTCGGCTCCTGGGCCACCTAGCGACACGCGGTAAGCGGCAATCGAAAGAACGTCCAAAATATGGACGAAAACACTACGGTCTTTTTTTGGGTCAGGTCAAAGGTCAGGTCAGCAGAGGTCACCAAAGGTAAAATCAATATTACTATTTGAGGAGGGTGCGTCTGTCCGTTACCGAGGTCCCGACTTGGTGGTGCTTTGCGTGGACTGCAGGCTAGACCGTTGCACCTAGCCCAGTGAAATTTGCACAACTTATAGATCAAGGATGCGCGACGTGCCTTTGAGGGGTCTCAGCTCGATCGGATTTATAGGGAGCGCGTGGCGCGTGCCCAAAAAGTGCAAATCCGCGTCATAGACTTTACATGTATAAATCGGCTTGCGAAATCGGGCGAAAACAGCCAAATTTGCTCGACACGGGTCCGGTTCCCGTGCAATATCTTGGTGACCAGGGGTGCGACCGGCACGGGGAAAACAGCATCGTGTAGATAATTAAGCGGGTTGTCGAATGGTGTACGATGCAGAGGGTCGCACGTGCCACGTGCACCCGTGAGGATACTTTTATTGGAAAAATTGCGGTTCTTGACGGATTTTGGAATAAATTTTATTTTTAGGTGTCCGTTAAACGGAGCGAGTTGGAACAACGCCTGTTGGCAAGAGAAATGTACCGCCTCTCATTGGAAAATTGTGAATAGCTAATTGATCGACGTCAAGGTGGTACAAATCGCTGGAGAAAATGTTTGTCGATGTTTCGCCACTTTATTATTCACACGGGTTTTGCTCAATGATCTGATATCTCTGGCAATTAAGAATGGCGCCGTTGGAAAGAGCATTCAATTCTGTCCAAGTTTCAGCCCTCATTTGTTATGACTTATGATGATCAACAGTACAACAGTATTCTTAAAAATGTAAATGTTCCAAACCATTACATTGTCATTTTTAGCGAAATTCATCGATGGCGCTCTAAAGACTTCACGCCAGTTTTCGAATCATTCTTAACACGCGCACCGACGGGGGTCTGCGCCAACTTAGTACCGACGGGGGGGGGCGGATGACCGCCCCCCTGAGATCTCGAGAACGAAGCAAGATAGCGACAAGCGGTAAACGGCATCGGATACGCACGGACAAGGTCTACAATTTTTACTCAGGTCATTTTCAGGTCAGGTTAAAGGTGACGTCACAGGGGTCAAAATGGCGGCGCTAGATATGGAGAGAGTTTTTCTCGAATTACTTTCGAATTAGTCGAGATATGAACAAACCAAGGGCATCATCGTGATCCTCTCGTCAATCCGCATCGAATGATATACAATATATGTTGACCTCAAAAGGTCAAGGTCAAAGGTTGACCTCAGGTCACGTGACCTCGAGGTCATCATGTATATATTCGATGCGTCTTGACGAGCTGAACACAATGAGACCATCCGCGCGGCTGTATCTTATTCCTGTACGGAGTTATTGGCAAAAAACCTTTGGTGACCTTTGATGACGTCACATGACCTTACAGCTGCCCAACAGCAAAACAGACCTCAAGGAAGTGAAGGTTGATCATATATGAAGTCATGTATGGTATATGGGGCCATTCCGACCCGTTTTAGTGGTAAAAACAGGGAGTTGATTTTCCCCCATTGACTTATAATGGGGAGGTCGAGAAATTGACCTGACCTTAGGTCACCGATATCAAAATTCCCGATTCCGAGATATAAAAATTGTAGGTACTAATGACTTAATAACATCCTGCGACTTTCAAAGGCCTCCGACATCTACTGTAGCTCTGGCACGGTGACAAAGTTGCAAAAAAGTGACTTGAGGTTGGGTCATTCAAAGTGACCTGGTGACCTGATTTTAAAAGGCAGGAGGTTCAAACTTTCACACTATGTGTAAAATTGATGAGAAAATAGCCGTACCAAATTTCGCGGCGCTACGCGCCGTGGTGTTTCCTTTATTCGCGAAAAACCTCAGGGGGGGGGCGGATATCCGCCCCCCCCCCTCCGTCGGTGCGCGTGTTAAGTAGAACGCATGATAATACGACACGGGCACCTCCTTGCAATGTATCTTTTTTGTTTTATTACAAAATGCCTGGCCGTCAAAAAGCAATCGAACGAAATGGATACCAACCAAATCGACACAGACCAACCCAATACCCAAGATCCCAATACCCACGGGTCAAAAATAACCCTTCTTCGCGTTGCGGAGCACGCGGGTAACCCTAGTGTTGACTATTTCAGCATTTTGGAAACAGCCGACGGCTATCTCGGGAACCGATAGAGCTACACCGCCGCGGAAAAGCGCATTCGATAGCCTTTCGATAAACCTTTCTGAGTATTGCTCTCAGATTTGACCTCAGGTCAACGGTTTAGCCTCCAGAGGGCAAAAAATCCAAAAATAGCCGCTTTTACAAAAAGCGTTTTTTTCGGCAATAACTTTTGACTGAAAAGAGCCATGACATTACTTTTACATACATCGTGTTCCTCTCGTCGAGACGCGTCGAATGAACTATTATTTGACCTTGAAAGGTCAACTTAAAAATTTGACCTCAGGTCAAGGTCATGGCCTGACCGGAAAAGGTCATGTTGCATATCAGTCGATCCGCAACGTCGAGTCGAACACATCTAAGGCGTTGTCAGCGCTCTAGCACGCCACTATCAGAAGTTATTAACGAAAAACTGTTAGATTCTGTTCGTGACCTGAGATGACCTCGGGGACATAACGAGGGGTCACAGTTGCCATTTTCCGGTTCATTGTGTCAATTTCTTACATCTCGATGTTTGAGAGTGTCTAGAATAGCGTTCATGCAAAACAGACGCTTGTGAAAAATTGATGTATGATAAGGTTTGCCTAAAACGCGCGGAGGCGCCGCCGTTGTTTGACATGTTTGCGAAAAAATACAGAAGGTTGGTGATCGAATTCCCCCCCCCCCCCCCCGCTCTCTCCCCAGCAGGCCGCGGGTTAACGGTGGCTGAATCGTCACAAAAAAAGAAAATACACCATAGTTTTGTTCTTTAATTGCAGCGGGAAGAAATTTGCTGGGATAATGTCGTTATCCCTGTATCAGTCGGGGGAGGTCTGGTCAATCGTTGTTATTTTTAGCACGTGCTATTTTTGTCACACGTGCAAAAATGGCAACGATTCTGCTATTTTTGAAAACGATGAAGCCGATTTCACTCCTCAGCAAGGAAATCACAATTTTGGAAAGATAAACACTGATTTTCGAAAAGAAGTGCTGCCATCTGGTGCAAGAAGAAGAAACCAGCTTTAATATGCCCGTTGTTTGTATGGTAGTTTGTTTTGTGGCCTGAAGCTGGAACTTAAAATTAAAACATCCGAAAATGATCGATATTGATCGAAAACATGATGTTAATGAAAAAAATGATATGTTAAGTTGAGAGAGGAGGTCATTTTATCCAGATGCGGTGATTTACTTCTTGAAATTATTTTTGCTAATTGACGGCCGCGCATCATCCGTCATTGCACTGAGAGAAATATTTACTCCCTTTGGGAGAGTTATCGAAAGTTACCAAAAATGACTCCCTAAAACTCCAGGGAACTACTCCCCTTTACTCTCCCGGAGAACTCTCACTGGAACTCTTCATTGCTCTCGTCTATATCTCTTCATAACTCTCTTGACCCATCACTACTCCCCCTACTACTCCCCCTAGAACTCTTCATTACTCCCCCACGTAACCCCTGTTAACTCCCTATTACTCTCCCACGGAACTCTCGCGTGAGCTCCCCATTACTCCCTCCACGGAACTCCCCATTACACCCCCGCGGAAACCTTCATTACTTTGCCTCTCTCGTAACTGTTATATTCGAATAGAAAAAAAAAACATTTATTGACATTCTCATTTCGTGCACAGCAAACTCTCACTCGGTATCAAAACATGTGAGCCTAAGACATCCCTTCGACGAAACCGAACGAAAAATCATCGAGCCATGGTATGATTTGCAGTACAGAAAAAAGAAACCGAAGGTCAAAGTAAACCTAAAATGCACAGCACAATGCAGAAGTCGGATTCCTGCATTAAGAACGCCGCTTATTTTACGATACCAATTATTTCCTCCGATGGATTATGGAACGAAGTAGGTATCTATTCGTGACATTAAAATGAAAAGAGTAATGAACATCTTAAAACCGAGCCTGGCACGTCTTACCACTCACCAGCGGAGAGCACCCTTCATTCAGCTCCGGAGCGGTTGGCTCAGCCAATCTCAACCACACCATTCTACACAGTACACACCCATTTTCACCGATACCACTGCCCGGTATTACCTATATAGGTCCATCACTTGGTCCACTTGGTCCATCACTGTCATTGGTCAGCCCTCAGTCACTCACACCGGTTGCCAGTTGGTTCATCCAATGTTCAGTAAGATATTACCAACCTTTTGATGTACGAGCAGTTTTAACCCTCGCATGTGTAGGGGGGGTCGGATGGACCCCCCCCCATAGTTTTTCGCGAATAACTCGCGTAAAAAGCGGCCGATCGCGACGAAACTTTCAGTACCCTCGCATTGATCAATTTTACACCTACCCTGAAAATTTCATGACCCTGACCCAAATGACCTTTGACCTGTGACCTCTTTTCCGAGACCATGTTTGGCCGGAATCGCGATTTCGCGTATGTCGGCTCGCACTAGCCGCGTGTTTGCAAGCTTTTCGTGGTTTCAAACGTTCAAACATGTGATTTGATGTTACTCCCGTGTGTGTCAAGGTCACCTGAAGGTCAGGTCAGGTCATTGACCTTTGGTGACCTCGGGTGACCTCGGGTCACTTTTTCGAGTTTTACATGTTTCTAGGCTAGTTTTTGGAGCTGAATTCGAATTTAGCAACCATTTGAACATTTACGAAGTAGTTTTGGTGACTTCGTAACATGTTACGAAGCTGTCAGAGGCGGTTGACACGTACTACGAATACCCGTCACGACGCCTACTGGTTGACCTGACCTGACCTGACCCGACCTGGTCTAAATGCTTCAAGACATCATCTGTGATCAAAACTAACACGATATTCGTGATCAGCACCCCGAAAAACCCCTTAGCAGCCACACTTTACGACTTTCTAACAGGTCCCGATTTTCCCGACTTTGGGTCATTGACCTGACCTGGAAGGTCAACCAATGACCTAGGACCTTAAAATTGGGTATCATCGGCTTCCTCTCGTCACGGGCAGCACGCTCGTTTTTTCCGCGAAGCTCTAGCTCGATCAGAGGCCAAACGGCAAGGGGGGGGGGTCCAACCGACCCCCCCCCCCCCCTACACATTAGAAGCTGGCAAACGCCGCACACATGCGAGGGTTAATCTTCCATGCTGCACTGCCACGGGCACACACTTATTTCACCAATTCACTACCACAGTAATGAAGAAATTCAAATAAATTGCAAAATAGTACTGGAATACAAGCAGCAACGTCCACACCGCGCGGCGCCGGCAGCCAAAACTGACGCTCGGACAGCTTCATAGAACATTACTTTTCTCCCAAACTCTTCAAAGTTCTCCCTTGAATAAACTCGATTATGCACTTCCAGCTGGAAATGAGGAGAGTAAACAGGCATCGCACGAGAGAGCTCAGCTGACAATCTGCACTGTTATTAGGCTTACCGACATTTGAGGGAGTTGCGAAGAGTTATTAGGCGGGAGTTTCAGAGAATTCCGAGAGCCTAGAGTAAATTTTTCTCTCAGTGTGCATGGCGGTCGTCATAAAACAAAAATAATTTCAAGAAGCAAACCACCGCATCTGGATGAAATCGCCTCCTCTTTCAACTTAAAATATTCTTTTTTACATAAAAATTATGTTTTCGATCAATATTTATCATTTTCGGATGCTGCAAATTGAAGTTCCAACTTCAGGCCACAAAAAAGGGTACGTCAACGTTGGACTACCATACAAACAACGGCCATATGAAAGCTGGTTTATTCATCTTGCACCAGGTGGCAGCACTTCTTTTCCAAAATCAGTGCTTGTATTTCCAAAATCGCGATTTCCTCGCTGAGGAGTGAAATCGGCTTCATCGCTGCCAAAAATAGCTGTTAGCTTTAAGTCATTTTTGGCACATGGTTGCCAAAAATGACATGTGCTAAAAATGACAACGATTGACCAAACCTCCCCCGACTAGTATTAACCGCCATTTGCTGCAGGGTGAATATGGGGCGACTGACGTGTCTCGGATTCCGCGGCAGGGCAAGGCGGCCATCCGCAGGCCGATGAACGCCTTCATGATCTTCTCGAAGCGGCATCGGGCGCTGGTGCACCAGTCGCACCCGAATCAGGATAATCGCACCGTCAGCAAGATTCTCGGCGAGTGGTGGTACGCCCTCCGCCCGGACGAGAAACAAAAGTACCAGGATCTCGCGCACCAGGTAGGAATTCCCCGTTTTGATTACGTGCCTAGCAAACCGATTGCGAAGTTGCGACATTCCACGGAAAAATGCAGGACTACTCCTTGTTGAACACTTACCTGGGCCCGATTAAAGCAAGTGAATATATTCATGGCGTACTTTGGAAAAGTACGCCGACATACTATGACCATAATGCTATTCGGTTTCCCCACAGGAATACATTTGCTACAGGGAGTATGGGAAATCTGTTAGTTTGCAACGACCTTAGGGTCGTTGCAAGCTAACTGACTGTCTAGGGAGTTTGCAACGACCCTAGGGTCGATGCTAAATAAAGACGTTAGGTGGCCTGCGATGATAGATTTATATTTACGTTTTAGTGCAGACTAGAGTACAGGTTTACGCGATAACTGTAAGCTTTGATAAAATCTATTTAGCGGATGCATTAATTTGGGTATATAAGTTAGTATATTTATTTCGTTATTTGGGTGTATTTGGACATTTGTCTTATTGAACTGTAATGCATAATGGCGATGGTCGCGGGGTGTTCGAAATTTTTTTGTTAAGCCCTTATTCAACTCAACCCTACCACTACTCTACTCCTACTTTACCCCTAGCCGAATCATACTCTACCCCTACCCTACTCCTATTCTACCCCTACCCTACCCCTACTCTACCCCTACCCTACTCCTACTCTACCCCTAGCCGAATCATACTCTACCCCTACCCTACTCCTACTCTTCCCCTACCCTACTCCTACACTCAGGTACAGTCTGTCTTGAAAGTACCGCAGCATGGGCTGCGGCGGCCCGGCGAACTGAAGGCCGGGAGCTCGGTGGTTTGAGAGCCCCAGAGCACGTGACGGCAGTGAGCCAGGAGAGAGTGACCGGGCAGGTCGCGTGGGGTGCCGCTCTCCCTTACTCTTTCCACCCCGCTGCGGCGCCTGTCGCCCAGGGGCACGGGCCGTCTGCGAGCACGAGTGGAGAACTTGACCGGCCCGGCCGATCCCCCGGTGGCTGGTTCACCCTTGGAACCGTTTTATTCTCGACGAAAAGACAGACGTAGCCAATCTAAAGGATGAGCGCGACTGCTTGCATTGTTCTCAGAACATGACGGATATTGAACAATGATTTACGATCATGGATCGGAACAGAATAAATGTAATAAAACTGAAGTAATGATGTGAATAACAACACATGAGAACAATGTCAATGCAGTAGTTTTGTCGAAAATCTCAGATTAACTATGGGTTTATATCTGATCGATTGACTCAGTAACTTAGGATAAAGCAATTTTGTTTCGTATTTATTTATGCGAGATAAAAAAGAAATCCCATTCTCACCACCCTTGTTGAGATTGAAACACAATCTACCTTTACTATTTGAACAGAATCCGTCTGTGAGTCTGTTTGTGTGTCCGCACATCGTGTAGTGGGTACAATTAACCCCGCCTACAGGACAGACGGTACGGCGTAGGGGGCTGAAATTTGCACACCTTCTAGGTGACAGAGCGGGTCAGCGCCTTTTCAAGGTTCCGACTCGCTGGGGTGCACGGTTGGCACGTGGCGGGCGCCGGAAGAACGCCAATGAAATTTTGATCGGTTCGTAGATCTTCATTAAGAGCCGGGGTCGACAAACTTTGTGAACTAAATGCATGCCGATCGGCGGCGGGTGCCTCGCATTGGCGGATGGGCAAGTTTTAATTTGAATAAAAATGGCGAGATAATGTGTTGATTTTCGTTCAATGGGAACAGTTTGTGATACGAGTTTACAAATGCACCGCGTTTGCCGTAATGCGCCACAATTATCTTAGGGCGTCATTTTTGCTGCAAATCGCACAGTTTTGTCAAATATGGTCCGATATGGGTGCAATTTGGTGCCAAGATGAATGCTCAACCAAAAGGTACAGATGCGCCACATTTGCCGCAATGCCCCACATTTGTCACAATTTGCCATTTCCGACAAATACGATTAAGCGTAATGGAATGGCAAGAATAGGAGCAGGGCTAGGAACACTTTTAAAGGTATGATTTTTTAGTACTTATTGGATCAAATTAGTCTGTGACCTGACATGACCCAGCGGTATTGGTAGGGGTAGTGGTAGGGGTAGGGGGTAGTGGTAGGGGTAGTAGTAGTGGTAGGGGTAGTGGTAGTGGTAGGGGTAGTGGTAGTGGTAGATGTAGTGGTAGGGGTAGTAGTAGTGGTAGGGGTAGTGGTAGTGGTAGGGGTAGTGGTAGGGGTAGTAGTAGTGGTAGGGGTAGTGGTAGGGGTAGGAGTATGGGCAGTGGTAGTGGTAGGTGTAGGGGTAGTGGTAGGGGTAGGGGTAGGGTAGTGGTGGAGGCGAAAGTAGAAGTGTGGCCCGGACTGATCCCATCGGACGGGAGGTGACCTATGTGACCTGGCCTGACCCAAAGTGACCGGGGCTGACCCCTTGACCCGTTTCGATCCCGTATCACCCAAGTTTCATCCAACAAAGCCCTTAGAACAGTTTTTTTAATTCTCTTCACATTTCCGTCCATATCTTTGTTTCTAGACGACACATCGATTTCAATCGAACACCATTCGAAAGCAAATTGGCTGGTGCCGCATTTTATGACCACGCAGCAAAGCAAGTGGCGCAGCCGCTTGTCGAACTTACTATTTGAGGAGGGTGCGTCTGTCCGTTACCGAGGTCCCAACTTGGTGCTGCTTTGCGTGGACTACAGGCCAGACCGTTGCACCTAGCCCGGTGAAATTTGCACAACTTATAGATCAAGGATGCGCGACGTGCCTTTGAGGGGTCTCAGCTCGATCGGATTGATAGGGAGCGCGTGGTGCGTGCTCAAAAAGTGCAAATTCGCGTCATAGACTTTACATGTATAAATCGGCGTGCGAAATCGGGCGAAAACGGCTAATTTTGGTCGACACGGGTCCGGTCCAGGTGCGATATCTTGGTGACCAGGGGTCCGATCGGCACTGGGAAAACGGTATCGTGTAAATAGTTGAACGGGCTATCGAATGGTGTGCGGTGCAGGGGATGGCACGCGCCACGTGCACCGGGGAGGGTAGTTTTGTTGAAAAAATGCGGTTTTTGAAGGATTTTGGAATTGATTTTATTTTTAGGTGACCGTTAAACGGAGCGAGTTGGAACAACGCCTGTTGGCAAGAGAAATGTACCGCCTCTCATATAAAAATTGTGAAAAGCTGATTGATCCAAATCAAGGTGGTACAAATCACGGGAGAAAATGGTGTTTGTCAATTTTGTGTCACTTCATTAATCACACGGGTTTTGCTCCATGATCTGATATCTCTGGCAATTAAAAATGGCACCGTTGGAAAGAGCATTCAATTATGTCCAATATTCACTCTTCATTTTTGCATGACGGGCAACAGTATTCTTAAAAATGTAAATGTTCCAAACCATTACATTGCCATTTTTAGCGAAATTCATCGATGGCCTCAAAAGACTTCACGCCAGTTTTCGAATCATTCTTAAGTAGAACGCATGATAATACGACACGGGCACCTCGATGCGATGGATCTTTTTTGTTTCACTGCAAAATGTTTGGCCGTCAAAAAGCAATCGAACGAAGTGGATACCAACCAAATCGACACAGACCAACCCAATACCCACGGGTCAAAAATAACCCTTCTTCGCGTTGCGGAGCACGCGGGTAACCCTAGTAGTACCTATTTAAAGCGGAAGCCACTGGAAGTAAGATGGAATGGTAACCTTTTGCTAATAACTTAAGGAAGCCAAAGCAAATCCTACACTTGGATGTTTTTCGTCTTCCTTTTATTCCATCTTATTTCAAGTATAATCATCAGCATGCAAAAAAAAACAGCGTTTCGAACCATTCTAACTATAGACGGCCAATGGCTGCTACATAAAAAAACATAAAATTACTAACACATTATGCTCCTTTGTTTCCTATCCATAAAAGTTACAGGCATAATATTTTCATTTTACGATCGAATCGAATGGCCAAGCAATTGTTCGTAGCGCCTACTTCCAGGTAGAGGATACGATCACTTTGATAATCGTATACCAAACACGAATTATGCGTATTTGTGCGGAAGGTCACTGATATTATGGGTATTAACAGCTAGCGGCATGCGCACGCGCACCGACGGGGGTCTGCGCCAACTTAGTACCGACGGGGGGGGGGGGGGGCGGATGACCGCCCCCTGAGATCTCGAGAACGAAGCAAGATAGCGACAAGCGGTAAACGGCATCGGATACGCACGGACAAGGTCTACAATTTTTACTCAGGTTATTTTCAGGTCAGGTCAAAGATGACGTCACAGGGGTCGAAAAGCCAAAATGGCGGCGCTAGATATGGAGAGAGTTTTTCTCGAATAACTTTCGAATTAGTCAAGATAGGAACAAACTAAGGGCATCATCGTGATCCTCTTGTCAATCCGCATCGAATGATATATATATATATATATATATATATATATATATATATATATATATATATATATATATATATATATATATATATATATATATATATATATATATATATATATATACGTTGCAAACTAACTGATCGTCCAGTTAGTTTGCAAACTAACTAGTTAGGATGCAAACTACCTAGGTACGTTGCAAACTACCTAGTTACTTTGCAACGGAACTAGGTGTGTTGCAACGGAACTAGGTGTGTTGCAACGGAACTAGGTGTGTTGCAACGGAACTAGTTGTAATGCGAAATCGACGAGGCAGTGGCTCTATTTGTCGGTTATATTCATCTTTTATGTAAATTTTAACAACGGTTGTTAAAAAAGCTGTGTTTTTCTGACGGGTCACACTAGACATGCGTGAGTAGGTCGGGCATGGTCACATTTATGGATGAAACAGTGAATAACCAGATTCGACTACATAATGTGACGATCACTGGCGGTCGCGTCACAGACTGATCGGTTGTGAAGGTAGGAGCTCGCAAGGCCTCGTCTAACATGTTAACTGGGGGGGCCAAACCCCCGCAGTCATCGGCCTGGCCCCCCCAGTCAGGGCAAAAAGTCACTACTGGGGGGGCCGGC